ACTTGTATTAAAAAAAAAAATAGAGGAAAAATAAGAAAAAATTAAAAAACAGAGAAGGTTGTTATAAATATTTCTCTATTTAATTAATTAGGCTGAAATTCCAGAAGTTCTCTATATGTCTCTAAAATTAGAAGTTATAAATTATAATAAGCAAATATGGACTCAATTTTAACATTTATATCAGTTGAGAAGCTAAATTGAATTTTAAAATTCGAGTTGAACAACTTTCTACTTACCCAAGCCCTTTACATTTTGGCCCTTGTCATTAGATGATATTTTCAAATGAAAAAGGGAAGAAAACATTATTTGCAATTTAATGTGATTCTACATACGTTTTGTTTTTGTTTTTTTTTTTGTTTGTTTTTTTTTTACAATAGAAATATTTCATTATCTCACAATCTGTATAAACTAAAAGAATAGATTAGTTAAAAGATCATTCACGATACATTATATACACAATTTTTGTTAGATAAATCGTTCGGCATTCATTTTTTTTAAATAAAAATGTGTATTTATTTATGAAATATTATATTTTTATATTATTTTTTTAAAGTACAACTACAACATTTCAGTTTAAAAATATGTATATCCGATAAAAATATATTGATATCCATTAGATCTGAGTCATTTGATTAACAACCTCATCTATGATTGTTTATTATTTATTTTTTTTTGGAATAAATCAATTGATGAGAAATGACATATAAAATAGTAAAACCAAGGTCATGCCTCTTCTATTTTTTAATCAATCTTACGTTATTGACACTAATAACAACTTGTTGATTTGTGTTTTAAATAAATCGGTCCAAATAAACATTATATGATAGGAGGTGGTCAAAAAGAAAAAACGAAGAAAAAAGATGAGGGAAAATAATATTTTATGTCATATTAACTTAGTTCATGAACGACACGTGACGTAATCATGAAAAAGAAAATAGATAAACGAATTGAAAAAAAAAAAAAATCAAAGATGATTACAAAATCTTGTTTAGATTAATCCCAATCTAAATGGCCGCCAGCGCGAACTTAACTACTCATTAACCCCACTTGCTTTGTTTAGGATAACATCAATCAACTCTACCTGCACAAAGAATGTTATAATGTTCCACTAAGCAACATCAAGCAATAACAATAGTAATAGATACTTTGACTCTTGTTTATTAGGGGATTGATGTTAATTTAGCATATTACACTTTATTTAGAGGTTTTATCAATCAAATATGCTAATTGACTTGTTTGATAAAGAGTTTATTTGATTAGTTTTTTGGACTCAAAATTATAGCTCTAAAAAAGCAGCTCAAAAGAACATCATTTTATGAAGAGCTGAATGCAGTACAACGAAAAAATTATAATTTTTTGCTTTTTTTTTTAATACTTATTTGACAAATCAATTAAATCCACTAGTGAAACTAGCTAGTTAATACAATTATTCAGCCGCGCGTTATCGACAAAGTCATAGAAAATCTAAGGGTGATAATATTACATGGGTTAAAACACGACACATAACTTGATCAAACAACTTGATATACCGAATATTAAATATAAAATAGATAACATGAAAAACAATAATTCATTACTAATATAACACGGTACGTAATACGTATTGTCAATTTTAATGAAAACAAGATAGGTGCACTTTTGTTTCCAATTTATGAATTTCCTATCTGAATTAGCCTCATGCTCTATCATAAATAACATGATAAGAATTACAAAAAGCTGCACATCTAAATAGAGTTTGGTATAATTACTATGTTCTCCTTTTGAGACACCAACGTTGGAAAATTAGATAGCATAGAAGATGTAATTATTAGAGAATATGACATGTTATATAAGTGACGAGTGTAATTAGTGATAGGGTCACCTTGGAATATTAAAAAAGAGGACCTTCGTATAGGCTATGGGTGTTTTTTTTCTAAAATTTTCGTTAGACTCAATAATATGACTATTTATTTATTTTCGTTAGCCCAACTTGTAAAATTTAGGTCCGAACTCGTTAATATTGATAAACGAGTGTAATTAGTGATAAGATTATTTCCCTAAACATAATTTACAAAGATTTTTTTTTTTTTTTTATTCTAGTTATTTGATTGTTTTTGGGAGAGCGAGTATTAATGTAATTTGTGGAGAGTGGTCAAACAAATTAAATGTACGTCTTGTTGAAGTTGTCCCAAGGTGGTTAAAAGTGATAAATACAGGAGAAGGACTGATATCTACTTCTATTTAAGAAGAGTGCAAGGTAAAGCAAAATTAAGTAGAATTAAAAGTCAATTGGAATATATATAACATTTCAAAGAAGGGCAATGCTATATGTAATTATGTACCATTGTATAGTTGACAACATTATAAATAAGGTAATTTTAGAATATGCCTCTTTTACCTGATGATATCAACCTCTATGTTTTAGTAAAATCAATTTTAAGTATATGGATTCAAATAAGCAAAAATGCATTTGTACATAATTTGGACTCTTCATGTACTTGTTCGTACATTTTAATTATATTTATTAAAAAGTTATGCAATTGTATGGAATATATCATCATTCCCTTTCAATTCAGTTTGTGACGAATAAGTCTTTTTAAGGCTCCCGTAAACTGCAAAATTGGCCCAGAAAAAATGCAAAAAAACAAAGAATTACAATTGATGAAAAATACAACTAAAAAAAAAATTTAATTAAGCCCATGATTTACCCGTTATCTTGAAGAAAGAAAAAAGAAAAACTTACAGTTAAACTTCTAAAAACACATCCAAATGGGATACTATGTAATTTCCAAAAATCTGTTAAGTCTCTTCTTTCTTATTCATATAGTTTTATCAAAATCAATCAATTCATAATCGAAACAAACACATGCAAAAATGTCATTGAAACCACAACGCTTTCACAAAAGAGCCTCAAAACACACGTTTTTAAAACTTCATCTCACTCTAAAGTCTAAACAAGTTCACATTATTCAACACCAAAACAAACCACAACGCTTTCACAAAAGAGCCTCAAAACACACGTTTTTAAAACTTCATCTCACTCTAAAGTCTAAACAAGTTCACATTATTCAACACCAAAACAAACCACAACGCTTTCACAAAAGAGCCTCAAAACACACGTTTTTAAAACTTCATCTCACTCTAAAGTCTAAACAAGTTCACATTATTCAACACCAAAACAAACCACAACGCTTTCACAAAAGAGCCTCAAAACACACGTTTTTAAAACTTCATCTCACTCTAAAGTCTAAACAAGTTCACATTATTCAACACCAAAACAAACCACAACGCTTTCACAAAAGAGCCTCAAAACACACGTTTTTAAAACTTCATCTCACTCTAAAGTCTAAACAAGTTCACATTATTCAACACCAAAACTCATAGTACAAAATATAACACCAACAATTGTAAAAAAAAAAAAAATCAACAAACAAAG